TTCTGAACCACTAAATTAATCCTTTCCCTCAGGTAAGAAGCCTTAGCTTTCTTAATTCTTTCAGTGACATGATGCTTTTCCTTCCCATGTGCTTATTACACTATCACTTATAAAAGTGAATAATGTTAAAGCAGAATTTCCTTCCAGGATAAGGCCTCTTTGGGCAGGTCTTATGCTTTCTCCCACTTGTAACTCTACAATCATTACCAACCACTGAATTGTCTCAGTTAAATGTCACTTCCTCAGACAGGACTTCCTTGATCTCTTCGACTGGGACAGAACCCAGCACTTCCCCTTTCCCTTTTCTGAGCTTATTTGTTCATATCTGTGCCACTTGATATTCTGGAATCTACATGAAGGAAAGAGTCTCCCTAGGCCACTGCTGCACTCCCAGGGCTCTTGAGTCTAGAACAGTGCTGTCCGACAGAACTTTCTGCAATGATAGAAATGTTCTATAATCTGCACATGTGGCTACTGAACACTTAAGAAGTGTCCAAGTGAACTACTGAATTTTTAATTTAAATTAGAATAGCCATATGCAATTAAAGGCTACATATCAGACGGTGGGGGACTGGAGAAGTCTTTCTCAAAATCTAAATCGAGATGTCAGGAATCTGTATCTTAACTCATTCTCCAGGTAATTGTTACCAGCAATAAAAATTTGACAACTATTGATCTAGAATATGATTCTCGAGGCTGGCTTCACAACAGGATCACCTGGAGGAGAAAATGATCCTTAATCCACATCCCCAGAGATTCTATTTCAGCTGGCCGGCCGTGGGGTCCAGGTATTAGTATTTTAAAAACTAAATAAAACAGAAAACCTCCTCAGTGATTGTAACACACAATCAAGTTTAAGAGATACAGAACATACATTCTCACAAGGTACTCAGTACCTATTAGACAAATAGCTAATATTTATAGATTTATAAATATATATTATATATATAGATATATAGATATTATAGATAAATAGATATTATATAGATATATAGATTTATAGATAAATAGATATTATATATTTATAGATATTAAATATCTAATATTTATAGATTTATAGAGTTACAGTTAAACGGTCTGGGTGCATTTACAAAGGATTACTGATTATACTGATTACAAGTGATGTCTTGTGATGTCACGAGATGTTAGTGACCTTAGTGGTTCAGATGAATTTCTTGATAGTGAAAGCAAATTCAGTTTTCACACAGCCTTTTACGATTGTGTGAAATTCCTTGGCCTTTTGTTTCATCCACGAACAGTACAACATACTACCAAGCCCCGTGACATTTAAAGGGTGACACACAAAGAGCTCCCTGAGCAATCACCTCCTAAAATACACAAAAGTCTTTCTAGTTTGCTGGTTGATTGACAGATGGTCTGAGGACGCCTTCTCGGAGCCACGTGAGTCACAAGACCTTGCACTCCGGTGCTGGAGGAAGGTGTTTCCTAACCTGCTGCCCTCGGCTGCCTCCGGGTCTCTTTTATTAGAGCGCTTCCTCCTCCACTCGTCGGTCTGTCTGTAATTGTCCCCACAGGAAGTAGTGGCTGGCCGGGCAGTCAGGTCGAGCCGAGGCAACAGACTTCTGAGTCATAGGTGCTAGAACCCTCCCTTCTCCCGCCCCGTCACAGGTAACTGTCCCAGCAGGAAGTAAAGGCTGGCCGCGCTGGCAGCAGAGAGAGCAGGCGGGCGCAGCCGCGCGGTGGAGGCTTCAGCGGGGGCTGTGCTGGAGGGAGTTTCAGCGCCAGCCCTGAGCGCAGTGAGTACACGCAATCAAAGGAAACCCAGTAGCTTTGCAGTGGAGTGTCTCGTGGTTTTTCAGAATGCGCTGATGATTCAAAAGAAAAGATCAGATCTCTGAATATGTCCTTTCCGGCGCTGCGAATGTTAGCCACGATGCCGGCAAAGCTTGCCAGGGGAGTTGAGGAAATTAACATGAAACTAAAACTGAACTCTTGGTTGAAGAATTATTGATCAGAACGTGCCAAATACTAACAATAGAAGTTTAAATTGACAAGCGAAATGAACAGAAAGAAAAGTATTCACTAATAAATGAAACAAAGGTACTAAAAATACAAATGAATGAATGTAGTTTAATAAAATATCAGAGGACACCTGAAAAATAAACATTTAAAAACTACTTTTGTTTAAAAGTGGTTTGAGACTTGTTAACTCAACATGTCCGCATTAAAAAAGAATTGGGAATAATGTGCTAAACGTGATGTGGCTTTACCTTTTCACATAAATTTCATTGATTTAGATAAAGATAGTGCATATTGCCAATCCTCTGAAATTAGATCACTTGCTTTCTGAAACATACCAGAGCTGTATGCAATAAATTTCATTTATCAGCAGGTAATAACTTTAAATAAATTAACATTGATAATGTTCGTTCAGCACTCAAAATGCAGTTCATGCACTCTGATTAGCTCCTCAAATTATTTCAATTGGAGTGAAACCTAAGAGGTTTAGGGCTGTCTATAGGCTTTCATAAAGGCATCTTTTCACTGAAATAATTTGCCACTTTTGAAAGTTAGGCATTTTCTTATCAGTGTGCTTGTAAAGCTTTCGTTTTGTTTTTGTTTCAATTTAAATGGGGGGGAAAAACGAATTTCTTAGATAACACCAAACCATGTGTCTTCTCAGCCCCCTGATATCCAGTTCCTCTGACCTATTACTGTGCTGACATCTTAGCAGCAATCCACCTGCCTGACTCTTGAACAATAGCCCGTGTAAGCCATTGCAGGGCCAAAACTTTCTTTGTGCTTCACAGTAAGACTATTATTTTTATTGAAGTAGTGTTACTATGTCCGTGTTTCTGTATGTCTCAACATCTCTTCCTCAACTACATCCCCATGGGAGAGATTGTCTTACCAGCATTTGTTTGGGTTTGTTTTAAGAAAGCACATACAATTTCAAATAGATGTTTTTCTTGCTAAGATTCATTGAGCAGTTTTGAAGCTATCCCTGTTTTCAGTGAAATTATCCGTAATGATGCCAAAGAATATATATATATATATATATATATATATATATATATATATATATATATATATATATATATATATAGTTGGTAGGGTTTTTTTTAATATTCTCTGCAAGAACACATAAGGAACAATAGATGGAAAAATGAAACACCTTTAAAGTAAATATTATCACTATAAAAAAAATAACAAGGAAGGTCGATTTCAGATATACTTTATTCCATACATATCCACAAGAAGTCATCACTGCATTAAGTTTGGAGGAAAAGAAAGGCTGGATTATCTTAAATTCTATTCCAAAGGGCTTAAAGAGGTGAGGTGAACCAAAACGTCAAGGTGCAAAATGTGATTTCAAAATGGTATTGTGGAAAGACTGATTGATTACCTCCTGTGATAAAATGACTTTTTTGTGTTATTTTTTTCTCACCTCGACAACTAAAAGGGTGAATTACGTTCAATAGCCTTTTCCAAATGTTATGAAAAATATCTGATTCTTGGGTATTTGTGGCTTTGGTCCTTTTCATCATAGGGAACCAGAACTTTTTAATAAGCTTATCAGTGCAGTCCAATAGAACTTTCTGCAATGGTGGAAATGTTCTATAATCTGCCTTGCCCAGAATGGTAACTACTGGCTATCTGTGGCTATCAAGCATTTGATATTTAGTTAGCTTGGCTAAGGAACTGAATGTTCTTTTCTTCCTTTTAATGAAAATTTAGCTATCTATATGTGGCTAGTGGCCACCAGTTTTCACAGGTAGCCGAATAGCTGCCTCACATAGTTCTGCTGACCAGGTGAAGCTATTTCGCATCATACCACTGTTGATCTTATACTGTAGGAGATTCCTGAAGGGATTCTTCAAGGATGGAAATCTTGAAGAGACTTAAGAAATTCTTGAAGAGATCTTTAAAGGATTCTTCTATCTGTTCATTTTTTTTTAAGTCAGAAAGATACAAAGTTTCATGAGTCGCTTAAACAAATACAGACCCTGAGGGCACTACTGATAAGTGCCTTTGCCTCTAGGTGATCCTGAGTGTGTAGCAGCAATAGAACCTAAATGTGTCCTCAGGCTCCGATTTGCTTTGGAGGCACTGAGATTTGTGTGTGAGATTTGTGTGAGTTTGATTGTCACACAACTGAAGTAAACTGAGCCCTGGCCCACAAATCTTTTCATTTTACTAGTCAGCCTACACAAGAGAAATTTTTTTTATAATATAATAAGAATAGTCTCCAGGGTTTGGAAGAAATAAGGTTTTCGAGCTCTGAAAAAAAGTTTTTCTTTTGGGTTTTGTTTTTTTTTTTTTTTTTAATTTTTTTTAACGTTTATTTATTTTTGAGACAGAGAGAGAGACAGAGCATGAACGGGGGAGGGTCAGAGAGAGGGAGACACAGAATCTGAAACAGGCTCCAGGCTCTGAGCTATTAGCACAGAGCCCGACGCGGGGCTCAAACTCGCGGACCGCGAAATCATGACCTGAGCCGAAGTCGGCTGCTCAACCGACTGAGGCACCCAGGCGCCCCTGGGTTTTGTTTTTGAGAGAAAGAGAGAGAGAGAACGTGAACAGGGAAGGGGCAGAGGGAGAGAGAGAGAATCTTAAGCAGGCTCCATGCCCATCTCAGAGGCTGACTTAGGGCTCGATCTCACAACTGTAAGAGCATGACTGATCTGAAATCAGGATTCAGACGCTTAACCTGAGAGCCGCTCAGGCGCCCCCAAAGTTTTTTTTTTTTAATTGTAGATTAGTGATCAAAAAGTATCTGTTGGTAAAATAAACAAAACAACAGATGAATGAACATGGAATGTAAACAGAATACATAATTTCATAACGTCCTAACTTTTTATTTGGAGGAAGGAATCTTAGCATGCTTTGGAAAATCTCAATAAATATCACATATAAGTCACAACTTGCTCACAGATTCACAACTTCTTAGTTGTCTTATTTTTATTTTATTTCAGAAGCTCTTGAAAAGTGCATCAAGTCTAAAGTGAACTGGCTCACTCTTGGGCAGTACTGGAACCATGAGCAATAATGGAACAGACTTAACCACTGGTTTCATCTCCTCTTCTGTGGCTGTCCTTTTGTTTGGCTCAAACTTTGTACCACTCAAAAAATATGATACTGGTGATGGTAATTATTTTTCCTTAATACGCCAACTTTATATTCTTTTCAAACGTGAAGTTCCCTTTTTCGGTCTTTTGTTTTAATGATGGCTACCAATTTTCTTGTACCTGGTGCCAAATGAATAGAGCTTAAGATACATCATTTAATAATGCTCATGCCAGTTTATCTGAGATTTAGTCAGTATAGGATAATCTTAGAATTGTGTGTCACGGTAAAGCTAGGAGAGAGACCATCAGGAAGGCTTTTTAGCCGTATCTCTTATGTTTACAAAAAAAGGAAGTTAGTCAGTGCTACTAATATACACTTGTTTCGAAAACACGAATTTCAAACAAGCTTCGTATGATAGAGAACAGTTTGAGCACGAAATGAATTTTGTGCTTAGGTATGATTTCGACTCTGCTACGACACTAGGTGAACACAGAAAACTGCACCCAGATGAATAAAGATGCACGGTAAGGCACAAGACGCACTTGCGCACGCACTCCTCAACATCCCCCAGCTCCATCAGCACCACACCCATTCACGTCTGGTGTTAGGACCCCCCCATCCACCAACTTCACAAAAGCTCACAAGCTGCCACACTTGCAATGCCCACTTCTATAAGCAAACCTCAAGTCTTTTTCAAGTTAAAGTGCCATGTTTATTTTAATACTTGTGAATTTCTTCACCGCTTAGCCAGTGTAAAACTGTACTACCATTTTTATTAGGTTCTTGTCTTTGCTTTTCATATGCGTTGATGAAACTTTTGAGTTTTGTACCCTTTTCCCCATAAAAACTCTGTAGTGTTTATTATACGACTTTGCATAGTTCAGTGTTTCTAGACATGGCACACTACAGTCGACTTGACAGTAATGTGAACTTCAGGGAAAAAGAAGAAAGAGGGTTTTTTTTTCCTTTTTTAAAAATCTACTTGCCTTTATTATTTGTTTAATATTTAGTTACTTATTTTTGAGAATGAGAGAGCACAAGTGGGGGAGGGGCAGAGAGCGAGAGGGAGACAGAATCCGAAGCAGGCTCTAGGCTCCAAGCTGTCAGCACAGAGCCCTCCGTGGGGCCGAAACCTACCAACCGAACCATGAGGTCATGACCTGAGCCAAAGTCGGTGGCTTAACTGACAGAGCCACCCAGACGCCCCATATTTGCCACATGCCCTGTATTGTAGCCAGGAGAAAGAACTGGAGATGTTACACTGAACGCCTGGGTGGGAAACAGTTGTGTTATCCCCTCAGTTCCTTAGACCTTGTTACTTAATTAAACAATAGAATTACAAATCTTTTTTCTTCCAGAGCTTTTCTTCTCTTTTTCTTTGGAGTTAGGATGGAAATGGAAACTACTAAAAGAAGAACAAAATATATTTGAAGGGGTAGAGGAACTGGTTTTTAGGTGTCTCTCAACAACTGTGTGATCCTGGGCAAGTCTCATCAGCTCTTTTGTTCTCAATTTCTCATTTGTGAAATGAAGAACTTGTCAAATGAAGTTCCCTCTCATCTCTGCGATCTTCCTTTTTTGTCTTAGAGGTTAACAGCCATTTTTTTTTTCTCTCCCCCAACATGAAATTGAATGGAAATAGGCAAAAATCTTCCCCAGTTAGAGTCAGAGTAGCTACACTGAGTTATAACTGCCCTAGTCTTTCTTCCAGTGTAGACTTTTTCTTTAACCTTTTAATCCCTAAACCCTTGGTGGTACAGAGGCGTCAGGTAGAGATATGCCTCATATCTCCATGTCATCTTCGGATAACTGGCAGCAAATGGCAACCCAGAGCCCAGAAAGAGAATTCCCTGACCCAGAACGCTTATTCTCAGGTTTGTAATGTCTGGCTCATCACAGGCATTCAACGCTAACTGTAGGAGGTCTATGTGTGGCCATAAATGGCTTTATTTTTATCCCAAGGGTGGCACAAATGATCCCTGAAGGTTTAAATTACTGTTATGCTGTTCTGTAATTCTTAATGCTGTGTTTTAGTGAGAGGTGGCAATAAGTGCAGCATCTGAATAAAGGTATATAGACTTGGTCTTGCCAATACTCTTTGGTAGAAAATTCTTAATGTATCTAACAGGTCAAACAAACAAACAAACAAAAGAATCTTAGGCAGGAATGCACTGTATTTGGTAAGCTTCAGAGTCAACAGCCTAGGTTTAAGTTCAAGATCTACAAACCATTAGCTGTTTAGCCAAGTTGCTTCATCTCACATTCATCTTCTCCATCTTCAAACTAGGGTTAATTACGATGCTTAACAGTTGTAAAAGTTCAATGTACGAAGTACCCACGTACAGGCATTCGATAAGTTGCAGCTATTCCTATAATAATATCTCTTTGATATTTCCAACCATTAAATTTATTCAAATCAGTTTGAACAACAGAAACCAATTTCTCTTATTTCCAGGAATGTTTCTCCAGTGGGTACTTTGTGCTGCCATATGGATGATTGCCCTGGCGGTCAATCTGATACTACATTGCCCTAAATTTTGGCCTTTTGCAATGGTTGGGGGCTGCATTTGGGCAACAGGTAATGTATGATATAATTTATTCTTTAATCATTTAATACCGATCAAAATGACTCTGATTCACAGTAAAAGAAAATAGCATCAACAGCAATTTTGAGCAATCCTTAGTCATAGATACTAGAAATTAATTTTGTTTCTTTCATTCAGATGCTGCATAAATATTTTGGGTGCATTTCTTTTTTCCTCTTAATGATTTCTTTCTTAGTTCTTGGTAGACAATTATAGCAAATATATTTCAGTTGTTCCCTATCTATTCAAGCATAACTCATATATTAGTTCAAGTGCTCCAGCCTTTTTTTCTCTATGTTTATCATAAAATATTTTTTAATAGTAGCCTCTACTAATATATATTTTTAAGATTTGTCCTTAAATGTAGGCAAACAGGCACACATTATCATTTCAAAAGTACTGGCAAAAAAATAAAAGCAAAAATATTCCTTTTGTTGCTTTATCAATTCCTGAAACTATATAAGAATGTGTACCTTTGCTTGGACAGTCAGGATGGTTTTCTTCCATTAATATAAATACATTCCAGAAGATTTCTATTCCATTTGGCAAAACGAATTCAAAGTATCAAGGCTCTTCAGGGGTTAATTTGATTAAAAGCAAATAAATTCTAAAATGTTAACAATGTATTGGGTACCCACTTATTTTGAGTCTCTGCAGAATTAAATGATTTAGTGAAGTTCATGAGTTGGAGGACAAAAGAGTTCACTTTTAAATTTCCATTCACATGATCATGTTTATTATGTTTAATGGGGAGAGGGCAAGAAAGAAAGCATCCATCTATCCTCCAGATCTTTATCACAACTAAAGTATTTATAATCACCCAGCAGTTTCCTTTGGGATTCAGTGGAGAGGGCTATAATTTGAGAAATGTTGCAGATGTGGATGAAATAGGTCATAGTAACTGAATGGATATGGGGAGTTGAGGAAAGGGAGCAACGAGTGATGATGTAGGGATTTTATTATAGGTGATGAGGAGGGTGGTGGTACCATTGACATGAGTGCTGAAAATACAGAGAGGTATGTGTCCAAAAAGAAAAAGGATAGTTCAGCTTAGGACCTTTTGAGTCTGAAGTTCCTGACATTCCCACAGTGGAGGACCTCTGGTTGGAGGCCTCTCATAGTGGTGGGAGCATAGCACTAAAACTCTGGAGAAAGTCCAGGCTAGAACAATACCGCTGGGACTATGTGTCTCTAACTGACAGCTGAAATCCTGAAATTAGGTCAAGTACCCAAAGAAGAATATAGCAAGAAGAAGAATGTGTTCAGGGGAAAATACTTAAGGGGCATCTAAATCCAGAAAATATGCCGAGAGAGAGCAAACAGTGAAAGAGCTAAAGAGAGAGAGGAGGGAATCAGGAAATGAAGGCATCTTGGAAGCTACGAGAGGAAACCTTTTAAAAGGCGATTGCAGGACTGAAGCCAGACTGCTGAAAGGTTAAGAATTGTAAAAAAAAAACACAAAACAAAAAACAAAAAAAAAAAATCATGCATTTGGCCTTGAGTGACCTTCCAGAGCACAAAGCAATGAATGCAGGATTCCAAAAGACAAGTCAATGAGCATGGAAGAGCAAAGTCTGGGGCCATATTGGGCCAGAAACTTCTACCAGTGGTGGCCCTGGTTCAAGTCTAAGACTAATTTTACTGTTGACACTAATTTTATCATTACAGCTTCTGCAAAAAGTTACAGAATAGAGACCTATGTGAAGGATAAAAAGCATTGGTGCTACTAGGCAAAGAGCTAATTTAATATTTTTCTTTGTAAGCTTTTGTCTTATGTTTATTTCTTTTAGCAATCATAACCATGAGTTCAATGCCAAAAATGTAGTTATTTTATTTAAAAAGTAAGGAATTGTACTTTACTAAATTTGTCAAAATCTCATAAGCTTCAGTTGAAGTTAAAAACTAATTCAATTTGTAAATGTATTTTTTTCTATTAGAAATAACATATTTTTTTCTGTATGTTACATCTACAGGGAATATTGCTGTTGTCCCAATTATCAAAACCATTGGTTTAGGCCTTGGAATATTAATCTGGGGATCTTTTAATGCCTTAACTGGCTGGGCAAGCTCAAGGTAACAGAAAACAATTTCTGTAAGATTCTCTACACTCATGTAAGACAAGTCGTAGGGATTGGGCTAGCTGAGAGGAATAATGGTTCTTAACCTCACAGAGATTATAGCTGATAAGACATACACATAAAATATGCTACTTATAATTATTCTTTGCTCTAAGTTCTAATATCTGGTCTAGATATTGGTTAAGATATAGTAAAGAATTATCTCCTTAGAACAGAAAAAGGAAGAGAGGAACTGGTGTTTATTTTCCCTTTTTGTTGTGTGACAATTTGCTGGACACATTATATGCATCATTCTCCTCTCATTTTTACAAAGATGAGGCAAGCACTACCTTATTAGAGAGCTACCAAACAGGTTGAATAACCTGCTGAATATCACAGAATGAATAAGATATGCTTCAAATCCAGGCCTTCTAGTCTTAAAGCACATCTTCTTTCTAGAGCCTGGGTCAGGGTCACCAAACCAGCCATTTTTATAAATAAAGTTTTCTTGTAACACAAACAAACCCATCCATTTACGTTTTGTCTATGACTGCTTTTACACTATAGTGGTAGAGTTGAGTAGACGGTCTGGCTCACGAGAGACAATCTGGCTCCCAAAGCCTAAAGTGTTTACTCTCTGGCCCTTTAGCAAAAAGTATGCCAACCTCAGCTCCAGAGGGGTCCAACAGGGTCACCAGAAGCCATATGTGTCCATTTATATTCAAAGTTCAATTAATTAAAATTTGATAAAATTAAACATTCAGTTTCACAGCCACACTACCCATATACCAAGAGCTCAATAGCCGTATATGGCTAGAAATTACCCTGGTATACAGTGCACCAGTAGAAGTGCCCCATCATCATAGAAAGTTCTATTTGTGCTGCCCTTGTTAAGCATTAAAATGAACACTTAAGTGGAGTTTGGGAAGACAAGTAGAAGGGAAGATGTCAGGGTGCCTGGGTGACTCAGTCGGTTAAGCGTCCGACTCTTGGTTTCAGCTCAGGTTATAATCTCACGGTTTGTGAGTTCAAGCCCCACATCGGGCTGTGTGCTGACAGTGCAGAGCCTGCTTGGAATTCTCTCTCTCTCTCTCTCTCTCTCTCTCTCTCTCAAAATAAATAAATAAACTAAAAAAAAGAAGAAGCAGGGAGGATGTCACCCTTACCTTATTTTT